GGCGCGGGTTAGGATGAGCTTCGGGGCCGTCTGTGGGCGTCGAGGCGGCGGCCCGCCCGCGAGGCCTCTAGGCTCTGGCACGCCAGATCTGGGCGACTTGCACCCTAAAGAGAATGTAGCTGTACCCCGAAGGGCCTGGCCCCCGGTCCAACCAGTTTTAATAATTTTCAAGGCGCTCCTGCCCGAAACGTACCCCGCAAGGCTCTCGCTGGACGAAGCCCTGAGTCGGGAATGGGGAGGCCTGTGTGGTTCTCTCGCCTCTGAAAGACGTGCACACCAGGCGGGGTGAGGGTAGGTGGGAAGACAAAACCCAGAACCAGTGACCCCAAACTGCGTAGCCTTGGGTGTGCCTGTTGACCTCCTGTGTAAATTGTGGGTGGCAACTCGAATGCTGACCTCACAGGGTTCAGTGAGCTCTCCGAGGTCAAAATGGTAAAGGAGGGGGGTGGGGGTTGCTAATCACCCACCTGTGTTATCTCATGAGCGCAGTGCTAACTGCGCTGCCAGCTTTTAAAGTCTGGCTTCGCGAAGGGCCGTTGGGAAGGGAGGTCGGTAATTAGTTGGAAGGCAGAGCCGGCTGCTTTCTTGTTGGCACTTGGTTTGCTGTCGGCCAAGTGCAGGCTGCCGGGCACTGCGGTCGGTGAGGGTGGAGACAGCGAGGGGGACGCGGGAGTGGCGGGTCCAGGGCTTTTCCAAAGGTCCCTAAGGTCCGGCCTGCGTGTGGGTGGGAGTCAGGGAAGGGGAAAGGAAGGAATTCACGGTCCGATCGGGAAGGAGCAGCCGTGTGCGGCTGGCTGGCTGTTTTCTGTGCGTTCCCGAGATTCGGCAAGTCAGACGTTGGTTTACCGAGGGCTGCGGCTGCTCGGCGGCGGGTTTTCGGAAGACCGTCTTTGAAGTGAGGGTTCTGGAGGAACCGGTGTGGAGCCGGAGGCCCCGCCCTTCCTGCGGGCTTCCGGGTCTGGAGCAGGCAGCAGGCGCCCCCTTGTGCTCAGGGAAGACGGCGGTTGCTACTGGCTCTTTCGGTGCAAAGGTTATTTTCCGATGGGTTCTGGGTCTCGCTCTTGACTGACAGTGGGAGGAATACTTTCGCGCGGAGAAGTAAATTGGGGATGTTGTATCCTGTGCTAAGCACTTCCACTTACTCAGAATACAGGTTTCAAGTGTTTGTATGTGAAGCCCTGGGAATACATGAGTGAGCAAGAGAGACAAAGCCTCCGTCCTCATAAAGCTGCCAGTGTATTGGGGCTGACAACTAAGTAATATCAATAAAGAGAGCAATGCAGAGTGCAATGAGAGCATATCATGAGGTTGATCACATTGCCTAGTGAGTATCAGAGAATTCCAGATACCTCAAGATCTGGAAGGTATTAACCAGATAAGAGAAGGTGCAGATTAAAAGGAGCCCTTCTTATTGGCTTCTCAGTTAAATAACTATTTCTCCTCTTTGGAGACAGCATTAACTTTTATGACACACTGTCATCTCGGATGTTTTTGCCCTATTTTGTGTTTTCCCAGGTTGGTGCTGGTGTAGAAGCCATTGGGACTTATTTATTTAGCTCAAGAAGTTGACAAAACCCAAAAAAACCAAAAACCTTAAAGTGTATTCCTTGCCTCAGGGTGGCTTTGCGATTGTTTACCTATTGAAGTCATTCCAATAAAGAGATGGGGAGTAACTGTTTTCACCATTTCTGGTAGTCAGCTCTGTCCTTGCCATAAATTTGTTTTAGCATTGTGAGCTGGCTGAAGTCCTGCTGACTGGTGGTTTCCTTTGCTTCCTCCACTTAATTTAACAGACCAGCTGAACACACATCAGAGAGTTAGGCTGGTGTATGTAGTCATTACGGTCTTCCAGTACAGCCCTATGCCCTGCTTTGGGGGCTCTGGTCTATCATTCTGGTCAAGAGGAAAACGGTACACAGAAGTAATACCCACATCAGAGACTTACGTAGTTGTTCACACTTTAGTGCATTTCACCAACGTGACAACTTTGTGAACGAGGCAACGCAAGCCATGACTCCCACTTTGTGTGTTAAGAACCAAGGTCTAGAGGGGCTAAATGAGAGCCTCTGACAGCCAGGTCATTAGTTCCTTCATAGGAGCACTCAACAGGCTGGTAAACATGTTCTGCGAGCTCAGCTTTCCAGCATCATACCTTCCATGCAGGACCCTTCCTATAAGAATACAGTACTGGGGGGGCGGGGTACCAAGGGGTTCTACCTGCCTTCAAGATACTTTTCCTACATCTGGGCAGATAGGTGGCAAAGTTTACCATGGTAATGCTGGGGGTGGGGGGTGGGAGTGGCGTTGGCGGCGTTCTCTGAAGAGTACTTTAAAGAATTTGCTGTGGGCTCACGTGTGATATTTCCTTCTTGGGTTTTGGAGTTTAGAAGCCTGAGGAGCTCTGTCCTGGTGCAACACCCCTGAATTCCTGATGGTGAGAGGATGTGGCTCCTGGACCCATCCAGGAAAGAGGTGCTGAAGTTTGCAGTCTGCTGCCGGGTCCTGACTCTAGTCCTGCAGGTCAGTCTCTGATCCTTTGTCCAGAACATGCCACGACCACTACTACATATTGGGCAAGGCACTAAGAGTGGACCTCATCTCCCAGGGGACTACATACCCTGTGCCTCTCTACGTGGCTATAAACAGAGACAAAGAATTTCTAACTGAAAAGTAGTGAGAAATCTTACAAATGATCTAGTAATCCCTTACTTTACACATAAACAGCAAAGGTCCAGAAAAGTTAGACAACTTTTCCAAACTCAATAGCAAGGAAAAAGAAGGCCCTGTTAGACCCCAGATATCTTAACTTCTAAACTAAAGATCTTTCCAACAGACTAAGATTTTCTCCAGCCAGATATACCTACCCTTAAGAGTTTGACAGCTCAAAACATTGTCTTGGGTTCGTTTGCCAGGAGGCTGAGCTCCACTTCAGTCAGTTGACTGGGAGGGAGATGGTGCTGCCAAAGTCCTAAGATCCTTGTGCATATTCATTTAAGTTGTGATGTCACCTGTTTCCTCCCATGGGAGACTCCCCTTGCTGCTTCAACACACACAACTCTCAGGAGGCATTTGCTGCTTTATGTGAGTTCTACTCGGTCCTGGGTGTCTACTTGCATTTGTGTCAGCACCTGTTATTACTTGGTTCCATCAAGTCACACTTCCAACTCAGAGTGACCCTCTGTACAACAGAATGAAAACTCACTGCCAGTCCTTTGCCAGCTTCACAATGGTTAGGTTTGAGCCCATTCCTGCAGACACTGTCAGTCTATCTCATTAAGGGTCTTCCTTTTGGGCGCAGACCCTTTACCAAGCATGTTGTCCTTTTCCAGGGACTGGTCTTTCCTAACAACATATTTAAAGTAATGAGACACTGCTAAGGATCATTTTGGCTGTACTTCTTTCGAGACAGATGTGTGTTCTTTTGACAGGGCAAGGTACTTTCACTATTCCTCACCAGTACCATAATTCAAATGTATCTGTTACTCTCCAGTCCGCCTTATTCACCTGTCCGTCCACCTTTCACATGCATATGAGGCAAATGAAATACCAAGGCTTGAATCAGGCACACCTTAGTCCACAAAGGACGTCTTTGCTCCTTAACACTGTAAAAAAAAGTCTTTCCAACTGGTTTGCCTTATTTGATGTCTTAAATGTTGCTTCTTTGGTGCAGTAGGTTATGCACAGGCTCTTAACTGCAAAGTCAGCAGTTGAACATCGCCAGCCACTCCACGGGAGGAAGATGAGGCTTTTTGTTCCCATAAAGCGTTACTGTCTTGGAAACCATGGGCAGTCCTACTCTGCCTTTAGGGTTGCTCTGAGTTAGAACTGACACGATGTCAGTGGGTTGAGTTGCTTCTACGATACTTGATTGGGGAGACAAGCAAAAATTACATCTTTGACAAAATGTCAACATTTTCTCCATTTATTATGGTGTTGTCTGTTGGTCCAGTTGTGAGGCTTTTGGTTTTCTTTACATTGAGTTGCAATCCATACTGAAGGCTGCAATCTTTGATTGTCATCGGTCTTTGATTTCACTTGTTGCCTTCAGCAAGCAAGATTTTGCGTTAACTACATATCTCAGATGATTCCTCCAATCCTGATGCTGCCTTCTGTTTCATACGGTCCAGATTCTCTAATTATTTTCCCAGATTAAGCATACAGATTGAGTCAGTATGCAGCACTGGTGCACGCCTTTCCTGATCTTAAACTACACAGTATTCCCTAGTTCTGGTCGTACAACTGCCTCTTGGTCGGTTTACAGGTTCTGCATGAGCACAATGGGGTATTGTGGAATTCTCATTCCTCTCAATGTTATCCATAGTTTCGATCCACACAGTCAAATGCCTTTGCATAGTCAATAAAGCACAAGGAAGCATCTTTTTTGGTATATTAAGCTTTCAGTCAAGATCCCTCAGACATGAGCAATGATATACCTCATGTCACATCCTCTTCTGAATCCAGCTTGAATTTCTGGCAGCTCCCTATCAATGTACTGCTGCAACCACTGGATGAACTTCAGCAGAATTTTACTTGCATGTGATATTAGTGATATCGCTTAATAATTCAGCATTTTATAGGGTCACCTCTCTTTAGGACAGCCAGAAATGGGCGTTTCTTCCTGTTGGTTGGCCAGGAAGCCTTCTTCCAAATTTCTGAGCATAAGCCTCGTGAGTGCTTCCAGGGCTTCATCAGCTTGTTGAAATATTTGGTATTCTGTCGATTCCTGAGGCCTTCTGGTTTTTTCTTTTTTTAAAAAAAATTCCTACAGTAAAACTTAGATGTCTCCCTTCAGTGTCATTCGATCTTAGTTTCATACCACCTCTGACCATGGCTGAACATTGACCAGCTCGTTTAGGTCACACTGTATCTTCTTTCCGTTTTTCTTTTGATGCTTCTTGTGCCCTTTTTGCCCATAGAATATTTCAGTATTACCATTTTTCCTCTTAATTTCTCTCAGCTTGAGATATGCCAATTGTGTTCATCCTTTTTGACTAATTCCAGGCCTTTGCACCTTTCATTATAATGCTTTTCTTTTTCTTCTAGAGCTGCCCTTTAGTTTGTATTTTCTGGTAAAAAAGTGTCATTAAGTTTATTTCAAAAACTTTTGGTATGCATATAATTTTATCATTAAACATGAAAGCAAATTTGGTACTAATGAGATGAATATGTTTATTTTTCATAAATAAATCTTGTCGGAATATTTGATACCGTGAGATATAGAGCATCTTCAACATTTTTCAGAGTTGATTGATATATTGATTTTATAATCATCAGTGCTGAGAATACCACTTTACATAAATACATAGTATGAAATGGCAGAAATGTTTAGGGCTGTTTCAGTAATTGTAGGAAATTTTGACATAATCCCAGACCAAAATTCATTTAATGACTTTTTTTTGAAAACTCAAGTTTTAAACCCGTCACTTGATAACTCAGCGTATTCTTGTACTTTTAGTGACATGACTGCCGGTTTTGCCGGCTCTTTTACTTCATTTCCTCCACTTCCTTTACGGTCAGGAGGACGTCGCAGAGCCTCTTCTGACGTCTCCTCTTTCTTGTCTTTAGGGACCTTTTGCTTTTTCATGTGCGATACTCTGCGTGTCGTCCCACGGCTCTTCAGGTGGAAGACCAGACTGGGGGAGGACTGAGATGTCCACCTCGGATGAGTTGGCCACTGGAAACCTTATGAGTGGCAGTGGGACATTGTCAGCACCCCAGGGGTATTATTTCCACCTAACTGTGTGCCTTCTCTCATGCCGAAGACTCCTGTCTCACTCCTTTGTGGAAACCTGGCCTCTTTCCTCTCTCACGCGATGAGGCATCGTGTGCTATGCTCGGTCCTGGGTGTATCAGAAGTGTCTTCTACTTGGAGACGAGGGTCGTTATCCGTGAGCGTCACTCCTGTTCCATATGTTTTCACTGGTTGAACGGGTCTGATACCGAAACTGACCAAAAAGAAAGTCTTACAATGGGATTAGGCTCCTGTCGTGAGACTGGAGAAACTGACTCGCAAGATGGTTCTGAACCAGGAGCAGTTGGTTATTGGCAGAACCAAAGGAACCCGTACTGTGAATCAGAGGAGGGAACCAGGCCACCTGGCTTCTAATTTAGATGGTGATTTTGGAATGAGTATGTTTCCCCTGGACAGTTCACCCAGCCACTGACATTTATGAAATACCTACTATGTTCCTAGAGTCCTGGTGGCACAGTGGGTTATGTATTAGGCTGCTAACTGCAAGGTCAGCAGTTCAAATCCACCAGCCACTCTGTGGGAGAAAGACGAGGCTTTTTGCTCAGATTTATTTTTGTTTGATTTTATTTTGCTCCGATTTTTAGGTTTAGAATCTACTTGATGACCGGGTTCTTTTGTTTTTCTTGTTGATGTTACAAGGAGGAGCCTGGCTGGTACCGTGGCTAAAGCACTTGGCTGCTAACCAAAATGTCAGCAAGTGAACCCACCAGCTCCTTAGGTGGAAGATGTGGCAATGTGCCTCCGTCAAGATTTACAGCCTTGGAAGCCCTATGGGACATTTCTGCTCTGTCCTGTAGGGTCACTGTGGGTCAGTGTGGACTTTCACAGCTGTGGGTTTGTGGTCCAAGAGCTCTCATAGGTGGAATTATGAAAGGCCATGTCCTTTCCCATCAAAGAACTTACTTTAGAGAGGCAAAAGGACGTTTAACAGTTATTTTATTATCCCTTAATCTCTCTCCCCTCCCTCCCCCTCAGCTTTAAAGATCATACCATCAGATTATATCGTTACCCTTCTGTGTGGTCATCTACAGATCCACAGATCATTCCGCATTCCTTGAAGGGTTGGCTCTTGGTTCATTGTCTCTTGTCTTACAGCATTTCTGTTGATTCCTCGATGACTTAAATCTTAATAAAACTAGTCTCTTTACTCCCTTCTAATGACCTTGTTCTTTCCACTTTCAGTCATTCCCTAAACCCCACCCACCCCCACTCTGTGCCAAATAATATCAATTTTAAGTATTCCATTCTCCAACCATCATCTCATATATTTTCAGCTCCCTCTCTCTAGTACCGACACTCTTCACAGTTTTCCCACCCCCTCAGGGCCGAAGAGTCCTCCCTCTTACCACCATTTCACGGTCCTTCTTGCCCTCGACCCCCTTCCTTACCCAGCTTAGATCAGTGGTCCATCATGAGCATCTTTCCTGTGCAGACATACTCAACTCTTTTGCTACCCTCTCTGTTTGTTGTATTTTCAGGCAAAAGCCCAGCCTTGGCTAAATTCAATTATCTGCCTATCCCATGCCTGCACAGAGAAAAACACACATCTGTACTAACTAGTTTCTTTTTAGTCAGGAGCGTCCACCCAGAGATCCCTTATTGCTACCTGGCAACCTTAATGCACTTCCTTAATTACCTCAAAATGTCTGCACATTAGAATCACCTGGAGAGCTTTTACCACTCCCAGTGCCCACCAGCACGTCTTACCAGTTAAATCTTCACAGCTCAGAAAGGCCCAGGTGTTGGCGTAGTTTTGTTTTCACTTTTTACTGTGAATTTGGTGAAAGTTTCCAGAGCAGGTCATAATTTCATATCCCACAATTCTCACACATATTGTTTCAGCTCATCTGTTGCGACCCCTTCCATGTGCCCTCACTCTCTTCACTCCCTCCCGGTCTCCCATTTCCACTCCTCCTCCTTTCCTGACCTTCAGAGCTTTGTCCACGGTAAATGCTGCCTTTTGATCCCAAGTGGCTGATGATTCTAACTTGGGTGTGAATTCGGTTCCAGACCTACAGGGTGACTAAGGGCCATCGTCTTGGGGTTCCACCAGTCTCTCTCTGACCAGAAAGATTTTGGTTTTTGTTCCATATTCTTCTCCCACTGGTGGTGGAGTGGTCACGAGGTGGGTGGTTTGAAATCACCAGCTGCTCTGTGGGAGAAAGGTGGAGCTTTGAGCTCCGGTCTCGGAAACTCACAGGGTCAGTTTTACCCTGTCCTCTAGGGTCATTGTGAGTCCGCATCGACTGGAAGGCGGTGAGTTTGGTTTTGGCTATCCAGGATCGTCCAAGGTGGTCCTCTTCCGAACAGCTTGTGGTGGTACCTGCTAGCACCGTGTAGTTCCTCCGGCCTCAGAGTCATGGACACTAATGTCTGTGTGCTGCGTTAGTCCCTTGGAATAATGGCTCCCATGTGTCTCCCAGTTTGATTCACTATTCTTTCCTCCAGACAGGGACAGACTAATGCCAGTGAACCTTAGATGACTGGCTCACAAGTTTGTAGGACCCCAGTCGCAATTCACCAAAGCGGGATGTAGAATGTGGTCTTTGTGACCTCAGTGTCCCCCCAGGAAGACTATGCTCATGATTGTTAGATTTGTTTCGTTTTTTAACCCCCTGGATGTTACTAGTGGGCAGCCTATTTTGAAACCCAGAGTCTCTGGTAACTTATTTTCCACCTTTTCTTCTTAAGTCTCAGTAGCTTTTCCCGTTCTTCAATCTCAACTGATAACTTCATTTTCTGAGTGAAAACTCAGAAAAATAACTGCCATCAGAAGAGAACTTCCGTGACAGACCTATTTACAACACTGACCAAAACCAGAAAAGGGAGCAGCTGCTGAGGCTGCCTGTTCATAAACAACCAAACACCTGCTAGGGTTGGCTCCTTGGCCTGGAGGTTTAGGGCCATGGTTTCATGGGACAGCCTAGTGAATTGGACCAATATGTGTTTAGTGCTTCTGTTCTATCTCCTCATGCATTGAATAATGCCTGGGGTCGTAAAAGTTTGCAAGCTGCCATCCAAAGCATGACACTTGGCCTCTGGAGCCACAGAAGAAGGGGGAGAGACAGGACTAGGAGGAGGATATGGAATGTGTGGCTAATTGCCTCCAAGAACAATTACTTCCTTTGTCCTGAGACCAGAAGAACCGGATGGTTCGCAGCTTGACCAGGTACTGAACATTTTTATCAAAGATTCTGTAAAAGAATACTGATCAAAAAACAAAAATACAGAAAAAAAAAAAATACAGAACAGAATTCAAATTCTCATGGACTCCTTTAGAGCCACTGAGGCTGGATGAACCTCTGAAATTACTTTAAACCTTAAACCAAAAATATCCACTAAAGTTTCTTAAAACCAAACGATTGTTTGCTTGACTAGTTAAATTAAAAACAAACAAACAAAACTAACTTCCTTGAGCATTACATTCTTTTAAGAACTATCTAATATGAGATCATATGGGCCCTGGTGGTGTGTTGCGTTAAGAACTAGGCTGCTAACCCCCAAGGTTGATAGTTCAACCCCCCCCCAGTCACTGTGGGAGATAGAAGCTGCTGTCTGTCCATACGTTTTAATCTTGGAGAAGCTCTACTGGGTCCTGTGGGTCACTGTGACTCAGAAGCAAATTGTTGTCAGTGAGTTTGGGTCGTTTGTGTGTTTAACATGGGATCACACTGACACCAGTAACTTAAAAGATTAGACAGGAGCCTTAGGAAACCGTGAGTTCCGTTTATGGAAGGGGAACAACTGAGGAAAGGAGTAGAGAGTGGTTGCATAACTTGAGCAGTGTAATCAACTGGCACTGAATTGTGTGTATATAAACAGTGGATGAGTAATGCCTTGTTGTGTGTATTCTCAAAAATAAAATCACATTTTTAAAGAGAGAGACCTTCTGCAGGCTCGCACTACATCCCCCAGCCTACTGACGCCTGTATCTCTGTGCCTTCACTGCTGGAGTTTGGATGAACTGTCTGCCCTCCTCTCTAAGGCTAGTTCCTCTACCTGTGCATCAGTTTTATTCTTTTAGCACCTGCCCCGGCAGTTCTCGCTCTTGTGCTCTCGCTCTCGCATCGTCATTGGTTTTCTTTCCATAGCACCGCTCCCATCTCACCTTGAAAGCACCGACATTCTCTTGACAGCGCATCTTTGTACACCTACTTACCCTTATGTCGTCTCTCCTGAGAGCAACATTTTTCAAAACTGTGTGCACTGGCTCCAATTTCTCTTCTGCTTTCTATTGAACACAGACTTCTCTTTCTTCCTCTCCACTGAAACCGCTTTTGTCAAAGTCACTGATGACTTCCACGTTGTTGCATCTCGTGATCACTCTTGAATCCCATCTTAACTGACTTAGCAGCAGCATGGAGCAGTTGACCACTCCCTCTCTTCACTTGATTCTCACGGTTTTGCTCCTAACTCATGAATTATTCTTTTTCTACCTTTAGTACTAGACCTTCCACGTCTTCCTAACCTCTAAAGGTCGACGTGTCTGTACGTCTTCCCTAAACAGTCTCATCCAGTCCTATCGATTTAAGTACATTCTGTACACATGTAACTCACACATTTCCAACTCCAGCCGTAATTTCCTTTCAGACCCACAAACGTGTGTATCACTGCCCCTTCTGCCTTTTGCTTATAGATATCCACCTCAAACTTAGCTAGTCTAAACCGGAACTCACTTCCCCCAGCAGGTCCTTTTTTGTTGTTAAACACTGATATTTTTCTTGCAGTCATTCACCGACTAACCGGGTTCTCCCTTACCCCACAGGCCCTGTTCAACGCCATCATCCCAGATCACCAGGCGGAAGCCTTCTCCCCTCCTCGCCTGGCCCCCTCAGGCGCCTTGGACCAGCTTGTGGAATTCCTGCTGGGTGGCCTGTCTCATTGGGATGCCGAGCACTTCCTGTTCATTGCTGAGCATGGCTACCTGTACGAACACAACTTTGCCTTTTTCCCTGGTTTCCCTCTGGCTCTGCTGCTGGGCACGGAACTGTTGCTGAGCCCCCTACAGGCCTTACTGAGCCCACGCAGTTGCTTGCTAATTTCAGTGGCATTACTGAACTCCTTGTTCTCTGTGCTGGCGGCAGTGGCACTTCATGACCTGAGCTGTCTGGTTTTGCGTAGTCCCCGCCAGGCGTTCTATACCGCGCTGCTCTTCTGCCTCAGCCCTGCCAATGTCTTCCTGGCAGCTGGTTACTCCGAAGCTCTGTTTGCCCTCTTGACATTCAGTGCCATGGGGCAGCTAGAGAGAAGCCAAAGCTGGGCCAGTGGACTCCTCTTTGCCCTTGCCACTGGGGTGCGCTCCAATGGGCTGGTCAACATTGGGTTTCTTGTGCATGCCCAGTGCCAAAGCTTTTTCTCTTCTCTCAAGGTGGAGAGTCCCCTGAGGCAGCTCATTAAACTGATAGCCTCAGTATTCCTGTCAGTATTCGCACTTGGCCTTCCCTTTGTCCTCTTTCAGTATTATGCCTACACTCAGTTCTGTCTGCCAGGTTCAGTCCAGCCCATCCCTAAACCCTTGTTGCAGTTCGCGATGGAGAAGGGCTACCGTGTTGCGGACGGGAATGCGCCTCCTTGGTGCTCCTGGAGTCTTCCCCTGATATACAACTATATCCAGGATGTCTACTGGAATGTTGGTTTTTTGAGATACTATGAACTCAGGCAGGTGCCTAATTTTCTATTGGCTGCACCAATGGCTGTACTGGTTGCCTGGGCGACATGGACATATGTGACCACCCACCCTTGGCTCTGCCTTACACTTGGGCTGCAAAGGAACAAGAATGGCGAGACCCTCAAGAAGCCTGCTGCAGGATTCCTCAGTCCTCAGGTGTTTGTATACCTGGTTCACGCTGCAGTGCTGCTGCTGTTTGGAGTTCTGTGCATGCATGTTCAGGTGAGGCGGACTCCCAACTAGGATAAAGCTGGGAATATGGGCAAAACTCCATGAGGGAGCAAGGGGAAATAGCTATCTTCTTGCATTTCGGTGACCAATACTTAATTTATTCATTCAACAATTCTCTGTCAGACCCTAGGTGACACCATAGGGAATAGAATTGCTGCCCTACTGGGTCTCATGGTCTAACTGGTGAGACGGACATTCAACAGATAAAATTCCAGTCCAGCAGAATGGAAGAGGGGTTGCTTTTGAGATAAAGCACTGTGGGAGCTCCGAGGGAGAGCACTAGCTGATTGAAGGAGTGAGGAAGGAGTTGCAGTAAGCTGATCCTGAAGAGGAAGAAGGAATTTTCCATCTGAAAGGCAGAGGAAGAACATTTTGGGCAAGTGGGAGGTTGTGTGAAGACAGCACGATTGTGGATGGATCTGATGTTAGCAGAGACCTGCCCTCATCTTTATACCCAGAAGATGGACTGGAGCAGTGGCTTCTGGCGCTGTGCCGAGGCAGCTGTCGAGAGCTCATTGCCTGCAGCAGCAGGGATAGGAGGAGTATGATCACATCTGGTTTTTTCTTCCCAGCTCTGGCCTCGGTTTCAACATAACCCCAAGAAAATCTCTCTGTCCCTACGCTGACCTCTTCTGAGCGGTGTCTGCCACTTGGCGGTGCACAATGACTGTAAAGTTTTTAACTGCGTGCATAAGAATCACAGGGGAAAATAGCATTCCGCGTTTTCAGCCAGATTAGGGAGTAGAGTGAGTGCCGGTCCAGTGAGCTCCCAGGAGGTCGGATGCATGAGGCCATTTGGAGACCTGGCTCTGAACTCTCCTGGGAGGGAGACTAGTGAATCTCTCTGCTCCCACATCCCTATTGGTTACATCCCAGGTTCCCAGCCCCCACATCATGGTCCAGAGTGTAGAGGCCAGATCCTGGGCTACAATTAGACCCCAGACGTTGAATTTTTACTGTTGATCACCACATTATTGTGGTAATTACTTTGTATAAATTTTTATTTATAGCATTGAGGTCGACTAGCTGGTGTCACATCTTTATAAAGCAGACCTTCAGCGCTGCTGAATTTCTTTGTCAATGTGACACATTTCTAGTGGACTTATGGGCCCGAGGCCACTAGGAAGTGGGAAGTCCCCAGCTGGCCCAGTGTGAGTCGGTGTCATTGCAGTAAAGGCATTTTTTCTTCTCTGGTTTCCAGGTGCTTACCAGGTTTCTGGGATCCGCCACTCCTATTGTGTACTGGTTCCCAGCTCACCTGCTTCAGAACCAGGAGCCGTTGCTGAGGTCCCTGGAGACTGTGCCGTGGAACCCCTTGGCGGGGAGCTCTCCACCAGGACAAACAGTCCCAAGAATCCACATCAAGAGGCTTTTGCACAACTGGAAAACCTGCTCTCCAGTCACACAGTGCGTTCTGGGCTACTTCCTCACCTACTGGCTCCTGGGACTGCTCCTGCATTGCAACTTCCTGCCTTGGACATGACTTAACCCAGGGCTCCGAAAGTACAAAGACACACTGGGTCTGCCTGTGCTGCCCTGTCCATTTGAAACCTCTCTTGCCCTTGCTTTTGGAGACTGGTTACATAGAGGGGAAATGGGCACCATGAGAGAGCCCTCTGCTTCTGGCGACGATAAATTTCGAGCAGTAAGTATTTTTGCTATAAGTGAAGATCTTACCTCCAAGCCTGAAATACACTGCCTCTGCCCTCCAGTCAGCCAAGCATCGCAGAGATAGTCAAACCTCTCTCCGAGTCACACATAAATTTAAATGATGTAAATCTCGCCAAAAGCTCTTGCCGGTGGAAGCCATTTGGTGTAGTGGCAATAGTATGGTGAAGCCATCTCTCCTGAGTGGGACATTTTTCTGATGGTTTTGTAATGATTTGTGGATGTATTTATATGAAAACATAAAATACATGCAACTTAACATTCAGTTATCCATGCAGTTAGCTACCCTTTAAGACCTGACACAGATTACGGGGAGACTCTTTCTCCAGGAGCAACAAAAAGCAAGGTAGAGAACACTGTGTGAAGAGGCAGGAGCCCTGGGTTCTAGTCCTCCAGCAAAACCCTGTGTGCCAGCTCGCTGCAGGGCTTTGGGCGATTCCCAGAGCCCTGGGCCTAAGGAAGTATACTCCTCCTACAGGAAGCGGAGCCCTCCGCTGCAGGGTCTCACGGACTGCCTTCAGTGGAATCATCCCAGCGCTGATACAGAGGCTCAGCGGTGTAGTTTAGGATATAATATCTCCAGCCATCTCGATTTCAGCCATTAGCAGATGCAACCCTTAAAAAGGTACTTACACAAACTTTTCTTCAAAGTAAGGAAAGCCGTGGCATCTGACAAGAAAGGCTTATTGTCCTCCGAAAGTAAACCTGTGCCGGGGACTGAATGGTCAAAACTGGCTGACTTTTCTGCCCTTCTCTGGCACCTGTGCTTGCTTGCATGGGAGACAGGTCAGAGGGGCCAGTGCAGTTGCATGGGAGCCCAAGGCTGCGTGAAGAGTTTTCTGTCCTACTTCCTGGTCTCCATTTGGTTGAGACCTTCACGATAATGGTAGTGAGGTCATTTCTCAGTTCTTGAGCCAGGCAAGTTAGATTCTGTATTAGCACCACTCTGTTCCCCACTTGACTCAAAAAGTCCAACCAGCAGAATAGATGAGTAACCAGAAGCAGCATCTAGAGAGCCCTGAGAATTGGAATTTTGACACACTCCCTCCGACGGTGACAGACCGCGAAACTTGCCAGCTGAGGGGAAGCTCCTGGCAGAGCCCCAGCACCCTCTGTTTCAGGTCAGCCTGGCCAATAAGCATTTCCCATCCAGCGCCCCAGCACTAGCACAGCTGAGAGAATTTGGTTCAGAGTCAAATGCTTCTGAAAATGTACACACAGATTGGGGCAGCCCTCTACCTTCTGCCAAGACACCCAAGTGCCCTTCTTGGCAAACTGTAATCACCCTTGCCCTAGTGCCCCTCCAGCTGGCAGAAACCGCTCCCCTCTCCTCACCAACAGCTGCAAATCCAGGGACTTCTACCCTGTGCGCAGAAGGAGTTGGGCCTTTTGTAGGTTTTTACTCTTCGGGCAGGAGCACTGGATTCTTTGCGCTCATAAAGTCATCTTAACCTCCTTTTCAGAGGGCATGGGAACTAATTGTTCCCTACAGGAAGAGGTGATTCACACTCCGGGTCAGGCAGTGCTCTGGCGATCAGAGTTTAACCTTCACATTAGATCTCGTCACCGCCAGAAACGAATGATTTCAAAGACCAGGAACCTTGTAAGTGGGAGTTCCATCATTTCAACAGATACCAAAGAGCTAACCCACTCGTTACTCGGCAAAGCCCGTGATGGTTCCAGCTGTAGATGACTGAAGGCCATGGCGAGGTGGAAGCCCCTGGTGAGGCCTGGAAAAGGCACCGTCCTCTCTCACTTTAGAGCACCTCCTTGCTGGTCTCTGAGGGTCTAAGGAAAGGGCTGTTTTTATGGCGGGCAGCTGTCCTTTTACCATCCCATTACAGACTTTAATGGGCTGGGCCAGGGACATGAAGGGCCCCGGCAGGAAGCTTCCTGTTTACCCTGAGGTCTAACAATGCAGCAGCTGGGTTGGGCATCCCCAATTTCAGAGAAAAGTCATTTCCTTCTGAGACCCTGCTAAAACAGAAACCAGACGCTTAGTGTGCCTAGAAGTAGACGTGGTTTGTTCTTTAATGGAGGTGGGAGGAGAGGGAGTGTTTGACAGGGTTCCACCAGTCCCCTGAGGGGGGAAATCACTTCTTTCCTTCTCACCTTTCTCTAAAAATGTTTTGCGACATGGATTCATTCAGCAAGCATTTAGTAATGCCTGCTTTAGGGGAGAGAGATGACGATGATCCCTTCTGCACATATACAGGACTATTGAGGTAGACGGTGATAAATGCTGAGGAATACGGGGTGCTTAGACTTTCCCCTCTGCGTCCTTCTGTACGTGACGTGATGGGTCTGAGTTTTACTCGTGCCCTTAGAAAGTTCACAAACTATAAGACAGATATGCTGGAGATTCATACCAGTCAAGTCCCCCCGCTTGGGACACTGAAGAAGACATTTGGAGAAAGGGCTTTTGAACTGGACTGTGGGGGATAGTGGGAACTGATTGTCCCCCTACAGGAAGAGGTGACTCAGCACATACCAGATCAGGTGTGATTGCACTGCTCCGCCTTAACCTTCACACTAGGTCTCATCACCCCCAGAAACAAGTGATCAAGGACCAGCAACCTTATCGGTGGGAATCTCATCTCCTCAACTACCCTGTTTCCCCGAAAGTAAGACATCCTCCGAAAATAAGACCTACCTACAGTTTTGCCTCTC